ATACGTTGGTAATTTATCTTTTTACTGTTGGTGATTTATAAATTAATATTACACATTATTACATAACTAGCTGGAATACCCGCCCCCTGGACGGAAGTTATGTAAACTCATGATTAATGAAAGGTTATCTTAGGACATGAAATGTTGCTTTCCTTATATGTAATGGTAAAAAAACGCCCATAAAAACTGCAAGACATAAAATGTGAAACCTTAAGTTTACATGTATCTCCGCATGGACATACAACAGACAGTACTATTATATTTATATAGATAATTATGGTGCCGTTAAATCAACATTAATTTTATTGTTTACAAAAAACATATATACCAGCGTGATTACGATATTTATCGTGAACTTCACCCATTTCGTTCAGGAACCTGAACAATTTCTTTTATGTGGGTTATTAGTCATAAAAATAGCCCTCTGGTGGTTAACAGATTAAACTATTCTGAGTCTAGCTCTGTCAATTGTTTAGTAATTACCTTCTTACAGAATAAGCTACCATAAAAAATTTATATAACTCACCAAACAAAAATGGCCAGAGTTTCTCTGTACCCAAAACTTGGGGAATCCCTAAAACCTGAGAGACCAGGATTGAAATGGTTATAACAAGTTGATAAATAGTTCCTACAGCACCACGGAGATGGACGGGGGATATTTCGGTCAAATACATGGGCGCTATTCCTGCATTCAGTCCTGTATCAAAATGACAGGAGCATTAGGAAGTTACCTAACATTTGCTGTCAATTTCTTTATACGTTTGACTATTTAGTAGTTTATAGTAACCGACTAATAACAACAGTTAAACGACAATGTGAATGTATTATATTAGGTTTCTTTGAACCTTAACAATTATAGAATATTTTTATTTTTAAATTATATTCTGAAACAAACAAACAAACAAAAAATTAACTGGTTTTAAGTAAAGTTAGTTTTTTCTCCCATCTTGATCATTATTAAACGTAATACGAACTCGTGATCTGTAGTGTAACATAGGTAAAATTAAAAAAAAACGACAACAACAGTAATTCAAGTTAACTTATTAAAACAAGGTTAGTTCTTATCAATAATCTTTCGTTGAGGGAGAAATAAAACTATTTTTTCTATTAGATATATGTTGAATAAAACGTGAAAATTATAGATTACTCTTGCTAAGCCTAAAAGTTCGCACACAACTTGAAACAAACTTTTTAAGGAAAATCATAAGATGTTTCTAGATAATTAATTTAAGTACAGAAAAGAAGTTTCTTACCAGAATTTATTCCAATTAAAAACCTGCCCAATATCAACATTTCATAGGATTGGGCCATTTTTGAAAATCCCATAAATCCCGCTGCTATAAAAACAAATATGTTGTTCAGCAACAGTGCACCTCTCCGTCCAAACTTCTCAGCTACATATGCAGTCGAAAGAGCACCCACCATCCCCCCGATACAGAAAATGGAGACCATGATGGAATAAATTATGGTAACTGCATGTCCTCCGGGCTCCCTCTCAAAATGGGCACGATAAGAATCCTTTATAAAGTCCATCAACAACTGTTAGAAAAAAAAACAACGAATGTTTGAATTTACATACCATGAAAACCCTCCAAATTTTGTACACAAGAATAAGTTACCTAAAATGTAAACTAATTTGCCATCTGCACTCATGAATGGTTACTATTTATCCAAGACACGACAAAAAACGGAGACGTAAGGTTGTTTAGGAATGAAGTTTGAAAAAAATATATATATATTTTTAAATATTCCAATTAATTACCAGCCTAAAGCAATATATTATGCCAATTTCTCACAAAAGTCAGCACAAACTTGTCAGAAACGTATTATTTTCTAGACTTAGCAGTAAATAAATGTGAACCGCATTGCGCATGCGCGCAAATACGCACACATAAAAGAGATTAAGATTACGAAAAGTCTTTAATTAATAAAAGTACTTACATCTTGTGGAGCATTGACAACGCCTGTATTATAGCCATGCTGGAAAGCTGAACCTAAGGCTGCAGCAGTGATAACAAACACTAAGCGACAAGTTAAACCCTGTGGGGGAGGAAGAAGACATTCGTGTGTTATAAATCTTCGGACATAAATAACACACAAGTTTAAATATTTTCCAATTAATTCAAGTCACGAGTATTCCACGTACACTACAACATATATATTTTCATAATTATACATGACTTTCCTCTATTAGCATAACAAAATTTAATGTTGAATTTCAAACAAAAGGTTCGTTTTACCCGTTCTCACCAGACACAGTGGAACAAATATATAAATTTCCATCCTGACGGTGATTAATGGTACAGCCTTGAATAACCAGTAGGAATGGAGGGTGAGAGGTTTACAAATACTATCTTATTATGATGTAACACTGTCTTTAGAGCAGGATACGAGTATAAACAAGGTTATGAGAAATTTATAGTGCAGTTTGAACCTGATGTTTTTGAAAATTTGATAACGTGTGGAAAACTTGTCACCTAACCCTTTCAGTATAACCCCCACGAATTGGGTTACAACCTGAGCTCTTGGTTGACTGCACAGAGACGTTGATGTTATTATATTGAAAATAAACACATTGTATGAAGCAATGACCTATTGGGGTAACACACTGACCTGATTGAACTCTCAATCATAGACTTTAGAACGTATTTATTTAAGATCTTTTGATTTTCAGAGAAACGTCTCACGACCACTTAACAAAATACAACCTTCACTGAAACACTCCAACTAGCATCCTCTACAGTTGCTAAGATACAATACCTGCCTCCAGGACGTTCTGGAGCGTCATGTGAAATGTACGTATCCTGACCTTTCCAAAGCACCCACATTCGTGAACAGCAAAGGTTCCCACGTAGTACATTTATACACTGTTGTGCCCAACCTGAACTTCGATTTTAGGCCTTTCACTATCAAGTATCTGATACTATGGTCATTCATTAGTATAGTTGATCTTACTGACATAAATAAGAATTGTGACTACGTCATGTAGCAATTTTCCAGTCTTACAGAAACATACAACCTCTCTTCTGTTAACTTCATCAGATTGTTTCACCTTGCATATACTTCTACACTATTAATCTACTCAAGAGGTGTACCTCTGGATATCTACTAAATATCTGTGTAGAGCATGCTCGATGGGTCATATTTATTAAAGATGTCCCAATACATTTTGAGCATCGAAGTATACACTTGATAGGAAGTGTAAAATTGTTTTTAATATTTTGAAATATTTTATTTTTCAAATATTTTGAAATATTTTTAATTTATAGATGAAAGGGTGCCGGTATATTTAAGTTAATTGTTCAATAAACCCCGTTAAATACACCTTAATTTATTTCAAGCGTTTAATTTATAAATATAATTTATTATCCAAACCAGTATGTTAAAACCGGTCTGCCCCTGTAAATGTGTTTTCTCATTAGTAGTAAGCTGCATTAGGCAAAAGCCCACATCTTTGGTTATAATTTTTTTTTTATATTAATACATTTTGTTACTCGTTTGCTAACACCGAGATATGTTTACTTTGCTTAAAGTATTATTAATCACTGTGATTCATAACCAAACGTACGAGTGCAATAACTTTAAAAAAGTATCATGATTAAAAATTACATGAAACAAATCTGTGCAATGCAATAGTAACCTCAAAGCTTATACGTAAATTGAAGTAACATCTGGAGATCTTGGGCATCCCAATTCTGCTATTTCCAGCCTCTTCCCCACCCTTCGTTTCCGGCCAATACCATACTTTTAAAACAAATCGATATACGAAGCCATTCCAAATTTAGCATAGGCCTTGCGCGCGCTTGTGACGAAACGGATTCCATCCCATCTCCTACATTCAACTAGACATCACACATACTTCAGCTACCAATTGACTACAGACTCATGGGGAGGGGGGGTATTGCAGATTGGTCCAATTTTGAAACGTCACAATGACGTCTGGGAGGAAAAAAAAAGGGAGGTAGACTTGTCATTTAATGACGTCTGGGAGGAAAAAAAGGGGAGGTAGACTTGTCATTTAATGACGTCTGGGAGGAAAAAGGGGGGAGGTAGACTTGTCATTTAGAATGAAATGAATTATTTATTATTATTTTTCTGAAAGAAAGGCAATTGTATTTTTAAATAACTTTCCAGAGGTTATTGAAAACTGCAACACTACTATAAACTTTGTCTACGACCGTTTGTAGAATACTAGAGTAATGCATTAAGATACTGATGTAGGCTTACAACATGAAAACTGAATGTATTAATTTACTGATGTAGGTTTACAACATTGGTGTTACACAGTAAAGCCAAAATAGTGTATTAAGATACTGATGTAGGCTTACAACATGAAAACTGAATGTATTAATTTACTGATGTAGGTTTACAACATTGGTGTTACACAGTAAAACCAGACTAGTGTATTAAGATACTGATGTAGGCTTACAACATGGGTGTTAGACAAGAAAGCCAAAATAGTGTATTAAGATACTGATGTAGGCTTACAACATGGGTGGTACACAGGAAAGCCAAAATAGTGTATTAAGATACTGATGTAGGCTTACACCATGGGTGATACTCAGGAAAGCCAAAATAATGTATTAAGATACTAATGTAGGCTTACAACATGGGTGGTAGACAGGAAAGCCAAAATAGTGTATTAAGATACTGATGTAGGCTTACAACATGGGTGGTACACAGGAAAGCCAAAATAGTGTATTAAGATACTGATGTAGGCTTACAACATGGGTGGAACACATGAAAACTTCTATTCTTAACCCATAATGTCTGTGGTGAAGAAGGTGGAAATATAGAGAGCTTCTAAACCCAAAGATAAAAAAAAGATAGTTACAGCTTTAAAAAAAAATAATTATTGGAAACATACTATTCCACACGATTAGCAAAAATGGTAAGAAGTATCGGTGTGTAGGTAGCGCTGCGATTACCTACTCTACCCCTTAGGTTTGTGTGGTAATATTAAGCATATTTTAATCTGTAGTATCCTAGAAAACACGATAAAAATGGGAACAACTCGTCTGCAAGATGGGACTTCAAACTTGACCTCGGGATCTGAATTTGTAACTAGAAAACTTTCGCTTTTGGGTTTTTCCAATCTTAAAAGAAAAAAAAAACAACAACAAACAAACAGGAGGCAAGCAAGCATGGCGGAATCCTCATACAAATAAAAAGAAAACCTTAACTTATTCTGTACTTACTGGTCGTCTTATGTAAGGCATGTTGTTCTTGAATCTCCTTATCAGTAGTTATATTTCTCAAACCTTTAAGCTATTTTTCTATTCAGCAACTTTGTTTTAAGTGGTAACGTGTTTCAAACTTCTTTCAATGCGGTACATTTCCTGTTTGGCGTACGCGACGCCGGTTCTTATACTCTGAAAATTGATTTCTTCTAGGTGTGCTCCCATTGGTTCTCTCTCTAGGGGTGCGTCACCCGTTGTGGAAGATTTTTGACTAAAAGTATATGCGCATGAGCATCAAGCGTATACGCTTCTATTACGTCACCATCACACCTCCTGACGCCGCCATTAAAACAAGAAAGCGTTGTTTCTGCGAAGCGTAAAATAAAACATTTGTTTTTATTGTAGTCAACTTTTAAATAAAATTATTGAATATATATACGAAAGGATAGGAAACGTACCATCTAATACCGGAGTTAAACAGGAGAAACTTTTTTTTTTTTTTTGTAAGCAAATATTTGAACTATTCCATTCGCCAATCGAAAACCCCACAACGAACGATTAATTCGATTGTATTAATTAAATAAATTTTCTAATGAAACACAGGTTACATTATGCTTTGTCTAGCCGATCCAGTCGCTTTATTTAATCTTAAAGAACTTAGAAAGAAAACACTTGTAACAACTTCGTTATTGTTACGTTTTTCAAATATATCGCAAGATGGTAAAAACATTATCTCCGAATTAGAAAAGCAATTTGAAATGTTTGTATGAAGATATATATATATATGCACAGAACACACACACACACAGTGTATGTTCCAGTGCCATATATATCTTCATAGGAAACATTTACACACACACACACACCATATATATA